GGGGGAGAGAGAGAACGAACAAAAGTCGCGATTGGCATTTACGAAAACATGAGATACAACCATATAAATTGAGATGAACTTATGATAAACAAATTAGTCGGCGCACGCTGCTGTTCCTTACCGGTTATAGTCTATCGTATATCTCCATACAAATTACCGCCGTTCCAAACACTGCGGGCTGTCATTCTTAAGTAGTCTTAGTGTTGCATATATCTACGAGGGTAAAAGAATATTCAAGGGGTAACTCAGGATTAATATATCACTTCCTCCCTTCCGTTTAACTTTGTATTATACCGTATCAGAACAATTTTTCTATACAAAATATGTCAGATCTATTAAATAAAAACATATCGAAATACTCTTCAATAAAATTGGACATTTTTTTTAACAAATGTTTTCTACACTATTTTGTGTTTTTAATATTATGATAATATGAATTACTTAATATAATATGTTAAAATTAAAATAATTATTTTTCTTTTTGATTTAATTTGTATTACTAGTACTTCAGGAAAGATGTGCAATTTTTTATGTAAAGTATACGTTATGTAAAGTAAGATGATTAAAGTAAGATAGTTAAAATAAGATTGGAATCTATATATTTCAAACAGATTGATCTCTCGCTGCCTAAAGCTCGTTCTACATACGGTGTCGACAGGAATACTCTAACAGAGAGAAGAAGCTAATTTTTTAAAAAGCATTGGGGATGTGAATGGATAAAACAACCCCGCGCGGCCACTCCGTCCTTTTCGTCTTCATTCAACGCCTCTCTGTCTCACGCTCACTTCCTCTCGATTTGATCACGCACGCAAGCTGTTGGAAGAACCCCGGCTGCCAGCTCGTATTTCTCGCCCTCCAACAAGATACCAACCACTTTCGACCCTATCCACGACTTCGCGTCACGCACACATAATATCCCACAGACATTATACATATCGTACATTTGTATGTGTCCACCTACACATACACATCACTATACAACACGACAGCCACCCGCCGGTAGCGAGCAAGCGTTGTAGAGCTGCAAAGTGTTATCTGACTAACCATCTTACTGATCCTTGGCCCGAGACGTCGGACTCACGCAGATTGTAAGAGGGAATAAGAGTGGACGTAATGGGATGGTAGTCTGTAAGTCACGAAGAGTTTAAAACAGCAAAAGTGTAAAAGATCATTTCATGCATTTATATGAATATAGAGTATTACAGTTTTCAACAATTCTTTTCTATCGAAAGATGTATAATAGATATAGAGAATAAACGAATACTATTTCACTTCAAAATAAAGAAATATAAAAAGCAATTGATACGTTACAATGTCATAAGAAAGTTTTGATTAAGAAAAGAACGATAAGAGAGATTTATTTATTTTTGTTTATAAAATATAAGTAATATAATAAAAAAATAATTTATGTTACTGATACTCACACAGACTTTATATCACAGAAACTCTTACCTTTAATTTATATCATTGCCAGAAATTGTTTATAAAAAATTTAAGTAGATGCAAAATTATTCTTTTTAATAATGTTATTATTTATCAAAATATTTTTTAAATACATAAAGTTGATGTTTGTTTGTGTTGAAGTTTGTTTAAAATTAAACATCAAAATCTTGTATCGCTACATTGCTACAAAATAAAAATTTATGTTTTGTACCTATATAAAGCAAATTTATAATATGTCGCAATTATAGAAGAGATTACCGTGTAGAAAGCATTATCGAGTTAATTATCGCTGTGGTTTTTAACGTGAAACAAAGTGTAAAACAACAGATTAAATAGCTGTAGAGAATTTAAACAACGTTTCAAACTCCGCATGCAGGCAACGATTTCCATCCTTTATTTAGTGAGTACTTAAAATTCTTCAGTTTATTTTTCCGCATTACCATTTCTGTAATCTTTTTTGTGTGAATTTTATTGCTTCACATAATTTCTTTTGAGATCACTCGATGAAAAGGCATTCTGCAAAGAGTTGGCGTTGCCGCCACATCGTTATCGGAGAATGAGGTCTTTGAATCAATGATATCATTAATTAATGCATTAATTTTACAAGATCGGAAATTACGAATGACAATATCATATCAAATATATTTTTAAAACTTTTCAAGATCAATATTTCAAATAAATTTTTATTGACGACAGTTTTTAATTTTATTAATTATAATTAGAATTAATTAATATATAATTATAATTAGAAATAACTCTTTAGAAACATTTATATATTCAAATTATTAATAATAAAATAACATGATAGAAACGTGATCTTTTGAATTGACGATTTCAATCTTTAATAATTTAATAATATATTTGATAGCATGTTAAAATATTATTTTATATATATGTACAGACATATAATAATTTGTGATTTTCTTTTTATTGCATTATATACAAGATAGGTGTGCAGATAGAGAAATAGAGAGAGATTTTTTTATATCTTTAATATCATACATATAATGCTTTTTAAGTAAAATAACTCGCTGTGTTTGTGTGCAGCTACATAATCACGAAGTTGTCTACTTATTGAGAAGAAGATCCGAGATTGATTGTACAATGAGAAAACCTGCGCACAACGTCCGGTAAGACCCAAAGCTGCGCGGGTCTCTCCTCAAATATTAGCGAAGGTTGCCGGGGTCTCCCTTTGAACCAGAATCCCCGAAATTTCTATAGCGAATAATCGGAGACAGCTGGCTCGATGCGAAATCAAGTAGCGTAATAATGCTCGAGACTCCACGAAGAAAATAAAGCAAGGAAGGAAGTCGCGGCAGTTCCATTGAATTCGAGGACGCTCTTGCGTTCTCTTTTCTTAGTCATATGTTGGTCACATGGAGGTAAAATTAAATAAATATTTCCTTGTGATTTATACGCTAATTTGTTTATTTTTATATTTACGGAAAATGGAAATTAATTCACGAAATTATTATTATTATATTTATTTTATTTATTATTATTATATTTATTTTATTTATTATTATTTATATAAAAATAATATAAGTTATATTTATATTGTTCTTTAATTATTAAAATATCTACATTGCTTATAAATTTACTATTTTTCAGTTATAGTTTTCTCAGTTTTAGTTCAGTATACAATAACATACGTCACGGATTAACAAACATTATTTTAATTTATAAATCAAGTTAAATTCTTCTCAATGTACAAATATACTGCAAATCAATATATTGAAATTTATTTTCAGTCCGCATTTCTATATCTATATTTTATTACTATACCATATATTTTATCATTATACTTTATTTAATATACTCCACAATAATATACAATAAGAATTTATCTTCTCTCTTAGCCATTTGAATACAAATTATTATATGAATATAATAAAATATACTTTTAGATCAAATGTGCGTAAGAATGTAACAGAAAAAAATATATATGTTGAGTTAATATATGTAAAAAAACAACGAATTATTATTATTATTTTAAAAATAACAAAATATAAAATAGTACATATTATTAATTATTTCTCTTTTTATCATAATTTTCAAAATTTTATAAATTTTAATTATGCTATTTTGATTACTTATTCAGTATATACATGTATTTAGTTTCTACCATTATATCTAACTTAATTAAAATCTTTAGTCAACAATATTTAATTTACTTACAATAACAATAAATATATAAAAAAAAAGTTTCTAAATTTTTATTTTTAACTAACAAACTACAACGCGAAACATGACATTTCTTTGACAAGCAGGATCTTGGTTGCTAAAGTCTTTTAATATAAAATAAATTCAATTAATTATATTATCAACTACGTGCCGCTTTGGTTTAGCAGACTTTCAACGTAGTGATTCTATAGTAATTCGATGGTCAATATTATTGATATCGATTAAAATTCCTTTTATTATCTCCACCGGAAATATATATTGCGAAAAATATAATCTCAGCCAGGAATCGAACCTGGATCGCCTGCTTTCCGGGCAGGTATCTTATCCACTAAACTACTGAGGCTATGGTAATATTTATCGCAATATTCAGATAAGTCAAACGTCTTTTTCAGCCGACGTGCGAATAAATAATACATAGATATAGGCCGAATACATGTTAACTTTTTTATTATTAGTATAATATTATTATTATAACTATTAAATAGTATTATTAGTATAACATTTATATTTTTAGTTTAATGTGATTGAAATAATTATACAGTAAATATACAGTAAATATATTAGAATTATTATTTAAAAGAATATTTTTTCTCGTTTAAATTACTCTGTTTCTTAGAAATTCTTAGAAATTTAGCTCATGATTTAATAGCGATAATAAATACTACTACGATAATAAATACTTATTTGTTAATTAAATAATTTTCAATATGCAAAATTTTACTTAGTTTGGGATAAGATTCATGTAAAATAAAGATGAATATTTAATAGAATTATTATGCGTAACTAACCGAATGAATTAATAAAATTATATCAAATTTTTGGTCGAACATATTTCAATATACATATGAACATATATATGACAACATATGAATATATATATTAAAACAAGATCATGATGTCTTTCTGTTTCAATAATAAAAAAAAAAAATGATATAGAATACTCGATAAATATGCTAATCGTGGCTTTTTGCATGAAATTCTTCATTCTATCATTTTGTCAGCTGCTCTCGTAACATTTAATGAGATATTTGATACTTTTGATATTTTTTGATTCTTTTGTCTCGCAATGTACAGACAAAAAATTGCCAAAGTAACTCAATTTTAGTATAAAAATAATTTTATTATAAATAAATATACATACTGTAATAAAAATTTATACATAAGATAATTACACTGATAACACATTATTATTATATTAAAAATAAAAATTTTGACAGAATTTACATTTAAAATAAAAACATTTTTTCTTAACCGAAATTACTACTAATGCGATTACAAAAATGGTAAAAAATTGCTTCTTAAACTGATAATTTAAAATTAACTATTACCATTTATAATTACGTCAACTACATATAAAAGAGTATAATATAACATCATACATATTTCCTGCACTTTAAATTGTAAGATAATTTGTAAATTCTAAATCTTTAAAATTTAATAAAAATCATTCAAAGATTAGATGTATAAAACATTCATTAGATGTATAAAACATTGTTAATCTGTAATTCGATTAAATGATTTCTGATTGATTCGAAAATACATACCATTCATAAAGTTGTAAATTAAATAAAAAATGTTATATATTATCTATTGCACATTTACTTGCTTAACATAATCAGTACTTTTGAAAAAAATTATAGCAGCTTTTTCTAAGCATGGCATATGTAAACAAATTTTTTCTATCGCGATATTTGATTTGATTTTGAAAATTTTTTATGAAAATATATTTAGTTTAAACAGAGACTGGTTACAATAAAATCGATCAGAGAGAGAATCTATTGTATTCTTCTTTATTATTATTGCGGACAAAAATATTGGCACAGCATTATTATAAAATGTGACCTTCTACGTGAAAAAAATAATAGCAAACTGTTAATTTATAATAATTTTATAATAATTTTTACTTTTTATATTTACATTTTTAATTATATGTTAGCAAAATTAACAAAGAACTAAATAGATAAATAAATGTAATCACAAGAAAGAAATAAAAAGTTCTCTTAATAAAATTTTATCTTTAAATTTTTTTAACAATACAAGATTTATCTGTAATTATACTATAAATAATTATAATATAATTACACACATATAATGTAATAAAAGTTTACACATAAGATTATTACAATGATAACACATCACGATCTATCAGAAACTTGGAAACATTATATTCAAAATAAAAAGTGTTTTCTCTTTATTGAAATTGTTGTTAGTGCAATTAAAAATTGTTTCTTGAATTGATAATTCAAAATTAATTATTCATTTATAGTCATATCAAATGCTCATGTCAAATAATTATATCAAATAATCTTAATCTAAATAATGTCTTTTGTTGAAAAAAATCTTAACGTTTATTTTATAGTATTTAGATTAATTTATAAATACCTCACGCATAGAGTGCAAATACATTTCAAAAGTGTTTTATTAATGGAATTAAAACATTTTAGAAATATTGCAAAATATTTTTACAATGCCCAATGAAATAGTTTTTTACAGTAGTAAAATGTTCGATTTCAAACGTTTTCCAATATTTAGAACTTTACAAAAAGGTAACTGATAGACTTGCAACTTTTCTGAAATATTATTAAGAGATTACTGAAACAGTTGAAATATTTTAACAGAACTGTTTAAAAAAACGTTTAAAAGATATTTTAATTCATCAGATGAAATATTTTTGAGATATCTCTGAAATGTTTCTGTGCTGCATGTAACTGAACTGTAATTTTCTTGCTGTAAAGACACATTTATATCTCATATCAAGTGTACATATAAAAGATATGTAAATAATTATGATATGTTATAGTAATTTTGATTATAAAAAGCCCAATAAATGTTGCATGTACATAAAACGTCTTCTAGCAGCAGTCCGTATATTTTTAAATTGACTGCATATGAAAGATTTTAGAAATATTTCTATTGCAACATTTTATATGATATATTGCATAATTCTTTCAGAATTGTTAAGAAATGTAAAAAATGAATTTAAAATAATTTTGAATTCTTAGTAAAAGCTTTTTACAACAGTCAATTTTATATGGACAGTTAAAAAAAGCAAATAGTTATAAATTTAAAAGCTGCAAAAATAACATTTAAAAAATAATTTATTAAATTCATATAAGCAGATTTACAACAGACGCAAACGATAAATTTTTCAAACAGCAATTAGATTAATAACAACTCGGTTACATCATCGATTCCAAGTATTCTGACAATGCAATCTAGTTTCAACAAAAAAGAGAACGTTGATCAATATGTCAAAATGAAGACGAGCCGAGATGGCTTAAATCGCGTTCAGAAAACACAATTACACAATGGTTGAGTAACTCACCAACATAATTGATCTAAATTCAGGGATCTAACAGTAAAGGCCAATAATCACTGACCGCTCACTGATCGCTTTGTTCCGCTGAACGTACCCTTAGTAACCGACCTAAATCGTATAGGTAAAAGGCGAGAAAAGATTAGGATTGTATGTAGTCTAGCCTGTTAAGCAACCCGTCTTGGTGCTCGTTAAATAAGTTTTATCTTAAATAAGTTAAATTCATAAGTATATCTTTAAGTGTCTGTAAATTTGTTAAAAAAATTTTGGCCACTAATGCTATTTTCTTCCCAAGCAATTCCCTCGATGCATTAACAGATATTATTTATTATTAGACTTACTTAAAAAATTGCAAAAATTAAAAAAATTCAATATCGCGCAAAGTAATCTCAAAAAAATTTTTTTTAAATTGCAATACATATATATATAATATACGTACATATTTTTAAGTTAT